TTTTTTTTTCCAACTTTGAATTTTTGACTTCATACGTGTGTCTCCAGAAACATGATCCGTCAGAGCATTTGTGTTCAACATCTGTATTTCTTTGCCGAATGGTGAATCCGCACTCCAATGTTATTTTCCTCAGAGTATTCAGCCCATAATTTTAGGTTCTTAGACATTTAAAAAGTATTTGGAAAGATAATGATGAGGCCACTGTTCGAGTGAAGTATTAGCAGCATTTTTTTTTCTGGCCAGGAAGGCGAGCAGAAGCTCTTGTACGACTAGCCGTGATTTAAATTAGGGATTGAATATAATATTTCTGAGGATGGTGCGCTCCAGTTTATGGTCGCACTGTAAGCAACCTCCAGGCCGCGGATCGGTACCGGTCCGTGGGTCATTTGGTACCAGGCCTCACAGAAATAATAAATAACTTACCGTAATTTTCACACTAAAAGGTGCACTGGATTCTGAGGCGCACCTTCAATGAATGGCCTATTTTGTAATTTTTTTCATACATTGGGCACACTGCGTTATAAGACTTAAAAATGTACAATGCATCCACTAGATGGAGCTACGCTCAAGGAAAGGCCAACAGATCGATCAAATGTCAGTAAAACTTATTTAATAAAGCAGCGACACAGTTCATTTAACCAACAGCAAGTTATAACATTGACTCTTTAACGTTGAACTCTCTTGCCGCTGCTCTATTTCTGTGTTCAACTGCGTAGCCGATCGCCGTAAATTTGAACTCTGCGTTGTCAGCATGTCGCAAGCAAGGAGCCACTTTGGGGTCAAAATATTCCCGGAATGACCATACACAAGGCGCATCGGATTTTAAGGCGCGCTGTGAGCTTTTAAGAAGGCTTTTAGGTGCGCCTTTTAGTGCGGAAAATACGGTACATTACTTCCGTTTTATTGATTTTGGAATCTGAAAGATGTTTTATTTTGAAAAATTACCGGATTCTCTGTTACATCTGTCTACAGTGTGTCACTCCTCACACAGGTCAAGGCGCGCCTCTCAGTCACGTGGTAGGTTACCGCTAAAACAAAACCCGGGAGCTAGCAAAATGAGTCTATAAACAAACGTTTTTGGGAAGGGGAAAAGCCCAGCCAGGTGACAGAAGAGGAGCCTACGGCTTTCAAGAAGAAGAAGGCTACATTTAAGAGACAGTATCAGGAGTCCTACTTAAAATACAGATTTATCTCAAGATCCCCACGCACAATGGTGTCTTTTGGATTTCCTGTAAAATAGCAATTTTGGAGATGTAGATTCTCAAAATGATGATAACCCCCACCCACCCTTGACCCCAGTCCCAAAAAAAAATGCAAATGCTGGAATTTGTCAAAACCTTCAGATGAACTCTACTACCACTGCGGATTAAGATCCTTCCAAACACGTCAGGAGGTACAAGACAATAACTGTTTTAAAGTGATATATTCATAAAGATGGATGCAAATTTAGAATCTAGTATACATACGTGTCTCCACATGAGTTCCTTGGCCAAACAGGATCTCCCCGCATGTTGCCACAGCACAATAGTATGTCCCGCTATCCGATGAGTTCTGTATGAGTTTGGACAGATGGAAAACGCAGCTCCCTCTGACCTTCTCATCATCTCCATCGGTGTAAATGATGTGCGGGGACGAGTCTCCCAATCCAGATTTGAACCAGTACACATTTCGATTAACCGGACACCGGCTGACATTGTGCCTCCTCCCGGAGAGAATCGAACACTGGAGCAAGATCGATTGGCCCGCCTCGACGGACTTGGCTTGTGGAATTTGCTTCACGTGGAAGGACTTGTGTGTGGGATCTGCTCAAGGGAATAGAACATTTGATCAAGTTTGGAAACAATTGGCGCCAGCATTCTTCACAGTTGCTATGGGCTCAGGGAACAGCCGATCATGGCTCAGCTTCATAAAACAGTTGAGCCGTGAGCCTGAGATGGACAAAAACGTGGATTTTTTTTTCATTTCGGCCCTTTAGCCCGGTTTCAAAATCACTCTGCCTTTCTAAAATGACATGTAATAGTTTACTGACAAGTGCCATTTGGAGAAAAGCTCAGTCTTTTTGCCACCAAGAAGTAAATGCAACATCACGGCGAAAAGGGCTTGGAAAGCCAATGAAGAAATGAACAGACTTTACCTTTCACGAGCAAATGCATGCTGTGAATGAAGCGCATATTGTATGAGGTCCCAGCTTGGCAAGTGTAAGTCGCTTCGTCTTCTTTGTTCACGCTGGAGATGTTTAAAAAGTAAGTGTGACCCACGCGGGCACTTCTGAATCGGACGTTCTTAAAGTGACCTCGAAGGGATAGTTCCCCAAAGTAGCCCTCCACGATCGTTTCGATTACAGAACCGAACTTCATCTTGTACCAGTAAAATATATCTCCCATGTTCTCGGAGTGTGGGCATGTTAAAGTGACGTTAGCACCAACTTCCACTGTGACGAAAGACACCGGCTGCAGCGCTTGAATCCGAGCTGAGAAAATAAAATGGCAGAATATTTTTCAAACTTGAGAGACTTTTGATATCCCAAAAGTCATGTTACCAACGCGGCACTCACACAGTGCGCCAAGAAGCACGATGGCAGTCAGTCCGGTCGTCATCGTGACAGGCGGCGCTGAGCGTTGTCTTTCCACTCGGTCACGAGGACGTCTGTAGGTTGCAAACTATCGGAACACTTAAATGCAGAAAATTGGCTTCCGCTGCACTTTTTCTGAGCAAACCAGTGACCCATTTTTAGTGAGTCACGCCTAAATTGGGCCTGAAAAAAAAGGTGTCACGTTCAGCTCGCGCGACAAAATAAATGGGCTTGAAAACTTTACAGGAGTAGTTACGATTGATTGGTTGATTGATTGGTTGATTGATTTATTGATTGGTTGATTGGTTTTACAAACGTGACAATTGTTGATTCATTTTTTGTTTGAGTTCATAAAATCCCTTCCAAACAGACACAAAAGGTTTAAATAGATCTCTATCACGATAAACGTAGCATAAATGAATCTCAAAAGTAACAAATTCCACATATTTACTCTGTCCGTCATGTAAAGGAATGCCTAAAAGTCCAAAGTTCCATTTCTAATAGGATCTATCACAAAGTGAGCAAGAAGTGGGGTACACCCTTGATTGCGCAGCTGTCAAACCCCAGTCCTCGAAGGCCACGATCCTGCATGCTTGAGTGTGTGCTACTGTTTGCCCGTCAATCGCAGGGCCCAAAAACCAGCCTCGCTCAAATACACACCGATGAACAATTTCTAGTTGTCAAAATTTCTACTTTTCAATCAACATACAATAACACACAAACACACACACACACACTCACGGGCACGCCCATTTCAGGCCTTCTAACCCTAAATGCCGCATGTCTCCGAAACAACCTACACACGCAGCGACTTGATTGCTCACTTCCACACACAAGCACTCGAGACCTCCTGCCACAGTTGCCGCGTGGAAAGTTGAAGGCTTCTTGTGGTTGACGACTCTTCAAGTTGAAGCGAGGCAGAACACGACGGCTTCACCCTGACTTCAGCCCGAAGTGGAAAAAGCATGCAACATTTTCGAATCATGACCACGCCGAATATTTATTTCAAGACTTGTGACACACGAGAATAAAATAAACAAAGAAATATTGCAATTTTATTTGCAGCGGTTTTCAAGTAAAACATGAGCAAATGATGACGCTTTACGACATGACGCTTCCAAATCCAACCTCAACATTTTTATATTATCGTGAAAGAAAATTGATCATCATCTTTTCCTGAGTAACTTTTTCAAAACGATTGATCATTGGAATTTCGCTTAATGAGACAAACGTCGGTATATGTACTGAATTTGTCCGGACGTCTCACATCCGTCTGGCCTCCTTTGCCACTTTTCCTGGCGACTTCCTCGCCACATTGGAATAAACCAAAGAGTCCTCGTCACTCTGAGAAAACAAGTCATGCGCGTCACAAGAAGAAGGTAAAATGGGAGCAAACAAGCCGAGAATTTTTTTTGACTGACCTGCTGGACACCACTGGATGTTTCTTCGTGGCCTTGCGGATGAGCTGCGTCTTCGAGAGAGAAAATGCATCAGTCACTCGGGAGAGAGCCGTCGCTCGGAGGTCCCCAGAATAATATGTCATAACATTTGAAAAAATTTATACGCATTTATATGGGGACCGCCACACCAATCAAACAATACAATACAATACAATACATGCTGATTTAACAATTAGTCATCCCTCCCATAGCTATGGGCCAATTAAAAGCTCTGATGTGATTATAATCGATCATCACATAAATCTGATATCCCTGCATTCATGGAGGAGTTTTTTTTTCCCCAACAAAAAGTGTTTTATGACAGGAATATAGGTCTGTATTATTTTTAATAATACATTTTATTTATAAGCGCCTTTCAAAACATTCAAGGACACCTTACAATCAAAACAAGAACAATGAAACCACAGATAAAATTATAAATAAGAAAAGGAGAGATGAATTTAAACTGAATATGCGATTTTAAATAGGTGGGTTTTGAGATGGGATTTGAATGTGGGAAGACAATCAATATCTCGGATGTTGGGTGGGAGTGAGTTCCAGAATTTGGGCACAGAGCGGCTGAAAGCTCTGCACCCCATCGTGCTGAGATGGGCAGAGGGTACACAGAGGTGGAGGGAGGATGACGACCTGTGGGAACGAGAGGGAACGGAAATTTGAAGAAGGTCAGACAGATGGGGGCGGGGGGGGGGCAAGGTTTTGGATGGCTTTAAATGTACAGAGGAGTATTGTGAAGTTGATTCTAAGACTGACAGGGAGCCAGTGGAGCTGTCGGAGGATGGGGGCGATGTGATGAAAGGAGGGGGTTCTAGTGATGATCCGGGCTGAAGGATTCTGGACCAGTTTATGGAGGAATTTCTAATGGACACCGAAGAGAAGTGAATTGCAATCATCGATACGGGAGGTGACGAGGCTGTGGACAAGGATAGCAGTGGTGTGAGGGGTGACAGATGGACGGAGACGACTGATATTGCGTAGGTGGAAATATGCGGTTATGTTATTTTTGTGGGAGTGGAAAGAAAGTGAGCTATCGAGGATGACACCCAGACTCTTGACCTGAAGGGAAGGGGACACGGTGGAGTTATCAATTGTGAGGGAGAAACTGTTGGCTTTGTGTCGGGTGGATTTGGTACAGACAAGAAGTTGTATCGCTGTTAAGTTTGAGGAAGTTATGGGTAAACCAAGATTTAATTTCTGAGAGGCAGTGTGAGAGGGAGGGAGGCGTCGGGTTTGCTGGAGAGGTAGAGCTGGGTGTCATCCGCGAAGCAGTGAAAGCATATAAACCAAATTTAGTTAGAAAATAAAGGTGCCTTATCTTGATTAAAATATACTTCAATGTCACAACATTCCGACTTTCTTGGAACGTCTTGGAAAAACTCCACTTTTTATCCCGAAAAAATACATCTTTGTTATTGTTCAATGAAAGGAGTTTTTTTTTTTTTTTATTCTCCGGATATTACAGCATTTTTTTCTCTAAATGGATGAATTTGTGACGTTATGATGTGTTTTCTGAAAAATAAATAAAACATTTAGGGGTACCCATGCTGGTCATGTTTAACTGCTGTGTACAGATCCGAGGAACTCCATGGAAGAATTTTTACCTGGATCAAAAAAGCTGAAAAACCTCTAGTGATGATTATTAATGTGCAGAATCTCTTACCTCTGCAGCAAAAACATGTTTGGGTCATGCTCTTTTTGATGAGGAAGGCTAAAGAGATGACGCTCAGGGCCAAAGCTGCACCCAAGAAGACATAGATACGATACTGGAGTAAATCACACCCATCCGCATTTTGAACTGTATGATAGAAGAAAAACAAAACAAAAAAAATAATTGACACATGAAAGCACACAATTGATAATACTGAAGACGAAATGTTTACCTTTTTTGGTGATCTCTCTTGCGCGTCCCGTAAAAATCTCCCCACATGCGGCCACGGCACAGGAGTACGTTCCGGCATCAGAGGAGCTGAGGTTCTTTGAGAATGCGTAAAAGCATTTCTGCACCGAGTCTTTTTTGACCTTTTGACATTCTTCATGAGCGTAAATGAAGCTGGGATGTGCCTCGTCTGTACCAGATCTGAACCAGTATACTTTGTGTCCGTCTGTATATGTTTTATTCCCAAGGGGGCGGAGGACCGAGCACCGTAAAGTCACGGACGGTCCTGAGAGGCTCTCATCAGACCCCGAGTCTTGAGTGGCAGCAGCTGAGTTCATGTAATTGTCTATGAACAGAGATGGAACAAATGAGACATTAGATTTCATCCCAAAGCGTCTTACCTACTTTACCTTTGACCTGAAGAAATGTTCCACTCAAAAACATCAATTCATGCTGAGAGTTGGCGTCCCAAATAAAAATTCAGGAAAGGTTCCAGAAACAAGTCTGATCCAAAGAAGACTCCCAAGGAACTTGTTGTCACGGGGACATTTCAAAAAAACACTTTCCCCAACTGTCGTTGTCGCTGTCGTAAAGTTGGTCGCAGCGACGCATTCTGAGCAGAAAAAAAAAACAGCTGTTAATCAGGGTGATGGACATTATGCACATCCGTTGTCCTTCAGCGTGGACTTGCCTCCATCTGGGATCAGCAGGAGCAGCAGGTGAAGAAGCCCCGTCCGCATTTTGTCTACGTTTCAGCAAGATAAGTGAACAGCAAATCCGCCTTGACAGCATCAAACGTTTACTGACTTGAAACGAATCACACCAAATGGGAGGGGACGATTAGACAGAAATTTCATTGGTCCGTTCCTGTGCTGGCCCAACCCAGTGGAAATATGTCCACTCAAACTCAACTAAAAGTGTGTTCTGAAAGTGAATCCTCTCTTTGAATTTGATGTCATGTATTTTCTTACTTCATACTTTAATCGGTATTTCTCCGCGAAATGAAACACATCCACACGCTCATCACTTAATAATCTACGAAGCCTTTGTGCTGAATTGGATGTTCTTTATTATTTGTTTGAATGACATTTTACAATTTGGTTTTCCAACTGTAAAAATAAAATAGAACATAGAATGAATGAAAATCAGCATTGAAATGTTGACTTTCATGCCTTTTAAATTGTTATTATTCAACCCATTCAACAAGTTATACGCAGACAACACTGGTGGCACACTGACGGGATCCGCATTTTCCTTTTGTTGCAAAAATAGCCTCTGACAAGACATTTATATGACATTTTCAAAAGCTGTTTGAAGTGAGTTTGATGTACCTCCAAAAGCTAATCAATCACCATTTGCTAGCCAGAGACTGAGCTGCACTGTATTTGTTTACGGAGTAGTGGCTTAAGTGTGAGGCAGCTCCACTTACTGTCGCTGACCAAAATATGTTCCATGTGGGTACTTGATACACCTCTGTACTGCAGAACAAAAATCTGAATTAGAATACGTGTAATTTTTTGTAGTTGTCAGTGTCCCACTTTTGGGTCCTGAGCTACAAGTTGAGAATCACTGCATTAGAGTATGCAACATATTTTAACGTTCGCGATTGTCACTGTCTAAAAGAAAGGAAGTTTTTCAAAATTTCGTGTGTGTGTGTGTGTGTGTGTGTGTGTGTGTGTGTGTGTGTGTGTGTGTGTGTGTGTGTGTGTGTGTGTGGCGGGG